GGAGCAGAGGTCCATCAGTGGCTATTAGCCACAAGGTATAGCTAGGGGCTCTGGGGCAAGTGATGCTCTGTCTTCTTGGTGCTTGGGGGGGGGGTCAACAGTGGGAGGGCTTCTAATGTCTTGGCCCCACTGGTGGACCTCCTGATGGCACTGTTATTTCTGGCCACTGTGTGACACAGAGTGTTGGACTGGATGGGCCTTTGGCCTGATCCAACATTGGCGTCTCTTATGTTCTTATGTGAGCTGGAGGCTAAAAAACTGTGAGCTAGCTCACACTCACTCAGCTTAGAGGGAACACTGGTTCCATCCACCAACTCCTGTACGGGAACGAAATCGTGTTAGTTGGTCAAAAGTGTCACTCATGCTCCTGTGGACTGATTGATTTGGCCTGAGATGATGACCTTGGCTACCCCTCTGCAGTTGTTAGCACTGGGACAAGCAGAGGTTAACTAGAAGTAAATTTGGGCATGGGAGCTTTGAGCGGCTGAGCTTTAGAGGGGGTGGAGGTTTCCTTCTGCACACAGTAGCATGTCTTTACCTTTTTGCTCTGTGAATGGATCTCTTTTAGTCCCCCCCCCCTTTTTTTGGTCTGAGCTGTTATGTTGTGTGGAGAACAAATTTAGAGTCCCGTGGCACCTTTAAGACTAACAAAGGTTTATTCAAGGTATGAGCTTTCGTGTGCAAGGCACACTTTTTCAAATGCATTGAGATGGCAGATGAGATTCTAAATTTATAGGCAGGGATTTAACAACAAACTAACATGTAACATGATGATGTTTAAAGTTATGCAAAGTGAAAAACTAAATAAGTTAAGGTTATCAGGTCAACAGCTGTAAAGCAATAAATGTGTCACAATAGAGGATAAATGTCTAAAGGTGTTTTTTCTAATTGTGGGAAGTAAGAGAATCTTAATTATCTCTTCTGAGACGTAGGGGGTGGTGGAGGAGGGCACTTTGAGCTGGATGTCATGTTGTCAAGCAGGCATCCATTCAGTATTCTAATATACTATTCTGAAAAAGAAAATACACTAAAACAACACTTCTTGTTGAGAATTTGTGGTTTGACTGGAGAGCAGATTAGTTTAGTCTTTTCCCCTTTCGTTTTCAATAAATAATCCCAACTAATGAGAGAGAGAGAAAGAGAGAACAAAGTTGGAGTCCAGTGGCACCTTTAAGACCAACAAAGTTTAATTCTGGGTATAAACTTTCGTATACAAGCACCGGTCTTCAGATAATATATACACACAGAGAATATGCACAGTATAAAGATATCCATAGGTCATGATCATAGTATAGCATATAATGATACACAGTCGTTAACTTAAAAAAGGGAAGCAAGGAAATATGTACAGTATAAGGGTATCTGTAGGACTCTAAAGGTACATGATAGGCCCTTTTCATAGACTATTAAATGTTACTCTCTGCTTATTATACCAATTCCAAAATTTTATAGAAAGCAGATCATGTCTTTATAAATTTAGTTTGTCCAAGTTTTTCATGACCACATACATATATTTATAAATTATGATCTTATCTTTGTGATTACAAACCAAACCCTATCCAGCCACTGTATTTATTTTTCTGGGGACACCTGCTGTTTCTGTACTTGAGCTAATGCCATTCTCGCTGCAATAATGAGATTTCTCACCAAGAGGACTTAAAAATATATCCAGCTCATCTTTATGACTTCTGTGTAGTCCAACATGGGACTGCGCATGTGCAGGCCAATCACAGAGATGGAATAGCTAAAGCTTCCCAGAAAGTATATCACCAAGGTTATGTCTAATGCATAACTTGTAATACAAAGTCTCCTTATGGATCATATTCTAAAATCTTTGAACTAACTTGCATTCCCGTTACATATGCAGTAGAATGACACTTATCTTGCCACATTTCTAATAAGATCTGGTTCACCAGAGATTTTAGCCAGTGTTACTTGGGTAAAACACCACTGGAAATATATTTTCAGGCAGTTTTCTCTGATGCCACCATTAAGAGAAACATTAAATACTACAGTATATTTCTTGAATGCTAGAATAAACTTTCGTCATAAGACCTTTTAGCTGACTTTGATGCACTAAAAGTTTTCCAAATTGTTCAGGGGTCTAAAATACATTATGGGCTCTATGAATATATATATATATGCTTACCCTGAAAGTTAGCATTTCTTGTTTTGTTGGATGGACTTTGGGCAGGATATCAGATTAGGTTAGTCTTTTCATCAGTGAGGCTTGCTTCTGAAAGGTTAGGAAGCTGGCTGTTGTTTGCATTTTCTGTGCTAATTAGGGGGAAATGTTAGCCTTTAAAGAAGGTACTTCAAAACATTTCATATGCAACACTAACAAGGCATCAAGTTTTGGCACATGTTTGAATCAGGGAGGAAACTGATTTTTTGGGGGGTCAGGATGAACTTCTGTACTGATGTTTCACTTTGTACTGAGATTTTCTCCACCCACTGCATAATCTGACACAGATGATTGTGGAATTCTGTTTGCTTTTTGGGTCGTTTGAAGCTTTTTGTATTGTTTCTTTCATGTCACAATATCCCCTCTTGGTTGTTTTTGTAATGGAAAAGAGCCATGGCACTCCCTGCTTTTACAATGAAAAAAAATGTAGGTCTACTAAAGACCAGATCTAGGAATACCAAATCTAGCTATTTTCAAATCCTTTCTAAATTTCTTTCAGTCCGTTTGACAACAGCTTGGCCAGTATACTGTTCTGAACACTGGTTTTTTGGTCAAAGTCGAAAACTCTGTCAGACGTTTTTGCATGATTGCTAGGTAGCTAATTATTTAAAATACATTTATTGTTTTCAAAATATATTAACTGTGTTGTAGCTCCAAGTAGCTTATGGTCAGTGTAATCAGTTCATCATGTTAATGTGGTTTCTAGTCCTTTCATCTCTGTAAGGTGGTTCATGTGCCAATTCCCTTGTAATAATTTTTTCTCATTAATTGTTCACATCAGAACTATCAGCCTCAAACCAATGGTCTTAAGCATTCTTAACTCTGTGCTGGCTTGTGTATTCAGAGCTGAAAGTTTATTTAAGCCTATTTAAAATATACCAGTCTTTCAAATAATTCCCTCCCCAAAATTATTATGATATTTGGGTCTACCAGTACAATCCTTAAATATGTATGATCGAAAGTAAATTCCACTGACTTCAGTGGGATTTAATCCCTACTAAGATTGCAGTTTACATAGTCGACATGTTGAAGGCAATGCTCCCTCTAAGCTGTGGAGTCTTGTGAGTAAAAATTCTACTTTGTGAGCTGCCCGCATTAAAGTTGTGAGCCAGCAATTTGGCTGCTGCATAAATTAGTTTGCTCTGGAGCCATCCTTCCTGAGCAAAGACAAAAATGTGTGAGTTGGAGGCTAAAAAACTGTGAGCTAGCTCACACTCACTCAGTTTAGAGGGAACACTGGTTGTGAACTGACTGAAGAAGTGAGCAGTGACTCATGGAAGCTCATACCCTGCCACAGATTTTGTTAGTCTTTAAGGTGCTACTGGACTCTTGCTCTTTTCTGTTCTGCTGATAAAATTTTGAATTGCTGGTTCATCCCGTTAGGTGAACTGGGATATCCTAAACAGAGTTACACCTTTCTAAGTCCTTTGAAGTCAGTGGATTTAGTAGGGTGGTAAATCTGGTTACAATGATTCTATGTTTGTCTTTAGTTGATAAATTCAGTCTCTTGTAGATAAGTTATGTGATTAAAAGCACATATCTTCACATGCAGTGAGAATATCCTGTAGGTTTCAGTTCTGGAATAAGTCACTATATCATAAATCCAATTACCAGTTTGGTGTAGCAGTTAGGAGCGCAGGCTCTAATCTGGGAGAATTGGGTTTGATTCCCCACTCCTCCACATGCAGCTGCTGGTGCGATCTTGGGTCACTCACAAGCTCTCTCAGAGCTGTTCTCGAGAGAGCCCTCAGCCCCACCTACCTCACAGGGTGCCTATTGTGGGGAGGGGAAGGGAAAGGAGATTGTAAGCCCCTCTGAGACTCGTTTGGGTAGTGAAGGGCGAGGTATAAATCCAATCTCTTCTCTCTTCTTCTCTTACTGCTTTAGCAATATCCCATAAATCCAGTCTCATTGATTTACATACATTATGTTGCTGTTCTGCACTCAAGATTTTACTTTTCTATTTTGATGAGTGCTAAATTTGGTTTGGTCAAGAAATAGAACTCTAAACAAGGTGCTGGTCTATTTGGTTTAGGAAGGTATGAGATATTTTGATTGCTAAAAATGTTGGTATCTCTGTAGCATGGACATTATTTTTGTCTATCCTTAATTTCTTACTTAAAATTGATTAACTGAGTCTCCTTTGTTTTTTTTTATATTCTTTTTTGTGTTGACTGTATATGAGCTCTTCCCTTTGTTTTAAACAATAAGGTGGTTTAAAAAAAAGGCTCAAAAAGGATTTTTGTCAGTTATTTTATAAGTTGCTGTGAGAAAGATGAGCCCTTATAGGGAGCACATGGCAACTTTGCAGCAGTTGAAATAACCAACATAATGATCAGTTTGAACAAAATGCAGAGCTATTTATACTTTCAAATAAGGAGGAGCAAGGCCTGAGAAGCGCCTAGCGGGCTGTCATGGTTAGTGATTTATGTGTGTGATTCCTGAACTTTTTAACGGAGTACTTTTAGAACCCGTCCTGATCCAGCGGTCACTGATGTTCCTCCTCCTCTCTGCGAGAACTTAGCCATGGGGGGGGGGGCCTCTGCTCTGCTTTGCTATTTTTTAATTTTCAAACTTCATTGCCTCTTGGACTAATCCTTGTACTTCAGATAAAGAAATTGGAGTAGCTAAATTTAGGATTTCCAAAATGTTTCCGCAGAAATCTTGGGTTTTGTTCATTTTAATGGTACACAAGGGAAGTACGTTGCGGGGTAGAAACGTGAGAATGTTTACGCTTCACCAAAGCAACTAAGGGAGCACAGATATTTTTACTGGTGTTGATCTACATATTTTTCCTCACAGGTGCATCATGTTGTTACCTTGCCAAGGGTAACTTAATGTGCCGTGATGTTTGTGAACAGGTATGTTGTTTTTGAGCTTACATGAAACGTCTAATTTGCATGCTCCTATTATCTACGGTTACATGGATCATCAAGGTGCAAACTATCGGTTAAATCCAGCCAGTTTTTTTTAAATCTCTCCCAATTCCTTTTTGTAGTATATCCCCCATTCCACATTTTATTTATTTATTTATTTATTTTTAGATTTATATCCCACCCTCCCAACGGCTCAGGGCGGCTAATATACAGCAAAGCCGGGTTGAATAGATAAAATACAGTAAAACAAAACAGCATTTAAAAACACAGTAAAACCATACAATATTTAAGGTGCTCTAATCTCTTCCTATATATAAATCACCCAAGATGGGAACAGTGATCCCAGTTCGGTGGCCAGCTGTCTCTAGCGTGGTCTCCAGTAGCACTGTTCTACGCGCATTCTGCCAGGCGATGGTTGCCCCATATAATGGGGGCAGACAGTAAGACAGTCCCACAGTGGTGGAATAGTGGTGGCGGCGGCTCCTACTTGAAAGCCTGGTGGAAGAGCTCCGTCTTACAGGGCCCGGATCTCTTCTGGAAGCCCGTTCCACCAGGTAGGAGCTGCCACCGAAAACACCCTGGCCCTGGTAGGGGCAAACATCACGTCTTGGGGGCCTGGAACCTCCAGGAGGTGGAGACTCCCCGATCTTAGTGCTCTTGGGGGAACATACGGGGAGAGGCAGTCCTTCAGGTACATGGCTTTTGTATGTGCATATCCCATGATTCTCAGGATAGCTTTTTTTGTGTGATCAAAGAGGATACATCCTCCCCTTTTCACCAACAGAAAATCTGGTTGGATCCCACCCTTTGTGAAGTGCCTCTATTCTGAAAACTGAACTTCAGGCAATTCTTTTACTGTCATCAATACTTCTGTTGTTGTGCAGAAATAGATTTTGACTTGTAAAGCTATAATAGGTTCACAGTAATTAATACGAGTAAAGACATTCTGGACATTTAGTCCTTTGAGATGGGATTAATTTATAGACTGATTTTGTTTTATTTTAGACTTTTTCATTTTTGCTCTGTTACATTCCAGTTTTAAGACAAAGCTAAACATTTTCTTGTGACCTATATTTTTCTTCCTTTATATTTAACTAATAATAGTGGTCATTATTAGTAATAGTGGTTAAGTTTGCAGACTATAATCTGCAGGAACCGGGTTTGATTCCCCACTCCTCCACTTGCAGCTGCTAGATGACCTTGGGAAAGCCATAGTTCTGTCAAGGACAGTTCTGGAAAGAGCTCTCTCAGTCCCACCTACCTCACAGGGTGTCTGTTGTGGGGAGGGGAAGGGAAAGGAGTTTGTAAGCCGCTCTGAGACTCCAAGTGAAGGGCAGGGTATAAATCCATTTTTTTCCTCCTCTTCTTCTTCTTCGTTAATTTAGTCAAGTTTGAAATTAGTGATTTGATATGGATGTTAAGACAGCAATCTTAAGTAGGCCTGGGAAATAACTGCCATTTTACTCTGTTGGGCTCACTCCCAGGAAAATGTTTTTAGGATTGCAGCCTAAGGCACTGGCAATAGATGTCCATCTCTACAAAAGAGAATTACACACGCACAAAATAACAAAGGACACTTTTCAGTTCCTGCCAAAATGAGAAATGTGACTCTCAAAACATAATTATAATCAATTTCCTTCTCAGTCAGTCACAGCATCTATACTATCTCTTTTTTATAGTACAATGATTTTTTTTTATAGTACAATGATAGCTGATCCATAATAGATTGCTCACAATAGTTGGAACTGAAGTTACCTTAGGGTTTGGTTCATAAGCTCTCTGCACATTGTGAATAGCACCATTGAATATTTGACAGATTATTGAATTATATTTGAATAGTTTGCCTAAGATGTTGATTGTACAAAAAGCCCATTGGTTCATGCACATTTGCAAACTACTTTTCTTTAACTTCTCACCTGTATGTTGTATGTTACCTTTACCTCCCTTCCTGCCCAAGTTCACCACATTCTTTAAGTACACAGAATATTTCAGAGGGAGTGATTTGCAGAAGAGGTGTCTTAGTTTGTCCCCTCTCCGAGGGCGCGATCACATACAGAATTAGCCGTGCCATAGGCATGAATGCTGGGCGGATTTTAAGGGCATGATCAGATGCCAACATCTGCCAAGCGTCCCCCTCCCATTGGCAACCCGTTTTGCCAGCACACTTCCATGGCGTCGGGATGGTCTGATCAGGCCATCCTGACTCCATGTCGTTGTTTCCCCCCCCCCCCATTTCGGTATGCGCATCATCGCACACTGCATAGGGAGCACTCGGTGTAGAGATGTTAATCATCGATCCCTTGTTGAAGCGCACCGGAAATACATGGCCAACCCCTCCCCCCGACTTACCCACGGTTGCGTCTGATCATGCAGTGGCGGGTTGCCCCCACAGCTCCCAGGGACTGTGTGATCGTGCAAATGCGGGTCAAATTCCTTTTTATTTTTGAATAATATTTTTATTGGTTTTTCATAATAATATGCATATCTATAATCATTCACCATTACTCATTTCATCCCATTGATACCCTACACAAAGAATAAACAGTATTCAACAGCAACAGTTGCCAAAGTTGTCATTAATCTCTTCTTCCCTTCTTTTCTCTCCTCACTTCTTATTCTCTCTCTCAAATAGCGATTACATACCTCCAGTTAATATTCATTTTAGATCTATATGTGAATATGAATCCTACTGCCTCCCCTTGTCAACCCTACTCTCTCAATAGACATCATTGAAAAGCATATGTTACAGTATTTTTACTATTTAACATTTTCCATCTTATTTTAATTAACATTTTGTTTATTTATTTATTTATTATACTTTATCTAAATAGTTTTGCTCCATTTTTATTGTTGTTTCTTTATTTTCTTTGTTTACCCCCCAGCTGCTCTGGCTAGGTTCGTCTTTTAACTATTTCCCATTTAATAACTTACTGCGCCTTCCATCAATTACAGAGATTTCACATCCCCATAGCAGATAACCATCCTATTTCCACAATTCCCCAGCTAGTAATACCACAGAGAAAGGCTCCATCTTAGACACATTTTTTAAAAACACAATTTATACCTTAATTATACTCATAATAATTTAATCATTTTCCAAGGGGAAAAAAAAACAAAAACCACAAAAAAACAACAACCCCTCAGCACATATAATCCCAATGCTACAGTCCATTCATAGTAATTTATCACTTCTTTTGAAACTACCACTCATACCATATCTCTCTTCAATCCCATTACCCGGAAATACATGGCCAACCCCTCCCCCCGACTTACCCACGGTTGCGTCTGAGTATGCAGTGGCGGGCTGCCCCCACAGCTCCCAGGGACTGTGTGATCGTGCAAATGCGGGTCAAATTCCTGTGGAGCAAATAGCCTCGCTTCTCCCCCCCCCAATTATCTCATGCATGTTAACACTGCCCGAAACTATTCAAAAGGTGGGAAAAACTTACAAAACAATCTCTCCATTAGAGTTGAACTCTTCTTGGCTAGGAACCTTTCCTTTTCTTTATGGTTCCATGTACAAAACTGAGACTTTTATTTCCCCCCACTAAAAATAATAATTTCAATACTGCAGTCCTAAGTAGAGTTATACTCTTTTAACCTCATCTGTTTCATTTATTTAGGAAGATGTAACTCTGCTTAGGACAGCACTGTGAATTTCATAAATATGTCAAATAGTTCTATTTTTAATATGCTAAGTTATAAATTATGCATTTTATGTTTAAAGCGGTGGGAAAAGTTTGAGTTTAATAAGAAAGTAAGCATTGCATATATTTAATTTTCCCTTACATTTGTATTCCCCCCCCCCCCAGGGTTTCAATTTTTTTGGAAATTTTAAATATCTTATTTGGCCAATAATTAACTAAGCAGGTTGTTCCTTTCAAAACCAAAAGCCTGTTTGCTTCCATACACAAAAACATACCTAGGAATGAGCATAGCATTTGTGTGACTGAGAAAGTTTTACAAATTTGAGTTCAGATGTCTATCAAACCACTTAATTGTTTTTAAAGTATATGTATTTGCAAGCACATTCCATGTATATTAGTAGTATTTCCATGCAACTGTTCTTGAAACAGTAAAATAACCTTGGTAGCATGCCTGCAATTTGTAATAATTGTACTATATTTCTTTTCAAAATACTTTGGTGACAGATTTTGGCATCTAAGAGTGATTCACATTTGAAACACCTTTTGCAACGTGCACCTGAATATTGTCCAGAATCAATGGTATGTATAATTACGTTGATTAAAATGAAAGGCTGAATTATATTTGGTAAAATCTGAGATTGGGGGCACAACTAGGTGAGATGTGGGAGATTCATGATCAGATCTCTTGACATCACTTTTACTTGAAAATAATCTATGGGCCCTCTGGAATGAACTGCAACCTTGGTACAGAGAGGGGGAGGGAACTATTTCCCTCCTACTTACTTTTCACAATTTAGGTCCTCCTGCAGTTGCTGTGTATTCTTTTGGGGAAAACATACATGCTTCCCCAGTGAGGCAAATACAAACCTGGGTGATAGAAGGGTGGTTTGGGTTGGAAAATGTTTAATTAGGGAAAAGGTTAACTATCAACTTTCTGAGCAATGTGGACCTGAGCCACATACCCCTTCCAGGTTGTTTTTACATAAAATTAAAGATGTTTAAAGATCTAGTGATAGATTTCTACCATCTTCTCCAGTTGTACCCAGCATTGTGTTTGGATCAAGTGGAGGAGAGGAGGACATTGTAAGCTGCTTTGGATCCCCATTGGACAGAAACATGGGGTATAAATGAAGTTAATACATAAATCCATTATTTTAAAGGTAATGTGGATTTATAAAAATATGTTTTAATTATTTCCTCTGATTATGAAGGATTGTGAAATGTCCGTATCTCTGCATTGTACCATTTGGATGTATATGCTAAACACAAAAGTCTAAGACTTGTGATACAACTTTGGACTTGCCAGAGTTCCACTTATTTTTAATCACTTGTTCTACATTGCTGCCTGCCTAGCTTACTTTTTGCAAGCATTGTGGTTTAGAGCAGAAACTCTCAGACGTTTGGGGCAGACGTTTGGCTTTAATAGCTTTTGTCCTTAGATAGTTCAAACTCTCTTCCCTCTTCAATATCCCTGAAGTTGCTCTGACCTGGATAGCCCAGGCAAGCCCGATCTCATCAGATCTCGGAAGCTGAGCAGGGTCAACTCTGGCAAGTACTTGGATGGGAGACCTCCTTGGAATACCAGCAGTCAGGAGGCGGGGGGAGGCTTTATTCAGCCACTTCTTTGAATATCCTTCAGGCCCCCCATTGGGTCAGTCACCAGAGGTCACCATGACTTTGATGCACATGTGAAAAATATAAAAAATACCCCCCCAAAAAAGTTCCCTGAAGTTGTTTCTGTCATCACTCTCATTGCACTGCTACGATTACTTCTTGTGTCTGACTGGCTCAAGCAGATTTTGAGCCACTTGCTGTGTGCCAGTTTGCAGGTACTTCTCAGGAAATGGAAGGCATGAAGGAAGGCCACAAGGGCCTGGGACAGATAGACACGAAGAGCAACTGTGAGGTGGGTGGTAGGTAGAAAAAATGGAAAGGCTGAGCACCCAGTAGCTTTCTAAGCTGGGATTTGTCTGCTGGGTCAGTCTTATCATCAACACGTAAGGAAGGGTTTGGTTTATTTTAAGCATGAATGTTTACATTATTTTTCTTCTCGATCCTTAGTCATGTAGCTTTTCTCGGAATCAGTTTATGTTTGTCAATATCTTGTGAACTGTGGTATCTAGAAGTGAATAAAAGTTCTCTAGATGGTTAGTTATTATTTGTGTTAGAACATCACTCTGAAGCATTTAAGAGTGCTAATCTGCCCTGTGGAAATACTTTTATTTTTCTTCTAAATTTCTCACCCTACTTGTGTGTACTTTTTTCCAGGGTGAAGTGTGGGGCTGTATTAATTCTTCATTGCCAGGTAAGGGGTATTACTCTAAATTATTTATGATGTACTGAAAGGTCATGATCTATTTCCCACTGGTACAGCTGCCTGTGCAGAAGTGGTCTCCTCTCCCCTTCCTCTGTTCTATTGTTGGCTCCTAGCTGCCTGCCCATGGTTGCATGTGCATTTTGGAGGCCCAGAAGGCTCTCTCCAGCTGGTAATGGCCTGCAAGCTACTTCTATAATAATTGAGAAATACAGTGTTTTCATAAGACCCACGTATTCTTACTTAGGAATCTGACCCATTTAACCCCCTGCTTTCTGCTCCCTGCAAAAAGTGGCGTGGAGCAGAAAGCAGGTGTCATGAACCGCTAGAAACTGGTTGTGAACGAACCTCATAATTCGTATTGCTTTGTGGTTCGATTTGTGGTTCTACAGCCACAAAACCCCCTAATGTTTCCCTCTCCGTTAGGCTGGCTCACTAACACAGTGTGCTTGCGTTGCGTGTATGGGCATTTAGCTGTGTCTCACTCCACAAAGTATGTGGTGTCAGTCAGGCTGGCTCACTAACACAGTGTGCTTGCGCAGGTGTGTGTATGGGCATTTAGCTGTGTTTCACTCCACAAAGTATTCCTAAGAATACAAGCAAAACATTTGTTTCTTCTCCTGTAGGTGCACCGTTTGTTGTGGCAGGAGAATATAGTGCCTGCTTCTGTCCCCCCTCCTCAGCATGCTGTGCCATTATTCAGAGAAAGCAAGAGAAATGTTTGCCCTTTTGCTATAGAATTAAAAAAAATATTCTCCACTCTACTCGAGACATTACAGTGATTGGTGGATAATGGAAGCACTGTGTACAGAACCTGTTGGGACAGTCTTCTTCAGTAGGAACATCTGATAATTTTTATGGTTAGGAAATCCTTGTGTCGGGTTGTCTTCTGAGTCATTCTCTCCTTGCTGCACCTCCTACTGGTCTTGCCTTGTGAAGCTAAAAAGCAGATAGCGAGGCATCAGAGTTACAATAATTTCTGGAGCTTTCTGGAGATTAGCAAGTTGTTAGTGCTGGCCATCAGTGTGTCATGGTAAATCTATAAAATAATAGGGGGAATTTAACTTCAGGTTTTGATTTCTGAATGTATTTTGCTTTCTGTATGCACATTCCAGCTACCTAGTAAACCCCCCAAAGTTAGTGGGATTTATTCCTTCATAGGCATGTTTGAGCTTGGGGTGAAACATCTGAAACCTTTTATGTTTATTGATAACATGAAGAAATTCCTTGGTAGGGTAGTGCTCCCTTTTGTGATGTCTGTTTGTTAGTGGGCATAGCACTGCAAAATAAACAGCTGCAACATGTTTGTAATTTTTCTTTGAAGGTGTTTTGAAGAAATCAGATGGCTGGGTTGGCTTAGGTTGCTGTGAGTTAGCTATTGTTGTAGAATGTCGACAAGCTTGCAAACAGGTAAGATTTTTTTTTGTATGAGACAAGGCAGGCATTTGATGACCTTCATATCCATCCATTCAATTGCTTTCATATATTTATACTCTCTTAGAAGAGACAGCACTTACCTGCTTCATTTTCCTTTTGGGATTGAGAGATTCAGATATCTTTTTATAGACTTTCATAAATGGATTTGATAAAAACTAGATATAAAGGTTCCCAACTATCTAGGAGCATGGGAAATATGGATTTTTTTACCGAATTAATTGATCCCCCCCCCCAGCCTTCTCTGGTAACAGCAGAGCCCATGGGGCAGGGCATACCCGACAGAAACAATTGGTACGATTCTGGCTGTAAGGCACTTAAAAGTTCAATCTGGAGTCTATATAGTCAGTTTAAAAGGTACTGCCAAGTATTCTGAAATTGGAAACAATTATATAAAAACTATTGAAATTCAAGACGTTTGAGGCCTGAAAAAGAGACTGGGAAAGCTTATTTTGGGCTATGAAAACCAAAAAAATGATAATTTTGGGGGGGACCTTAATTGCAAAAGGATTAAATACATGGTATCCAGTATCCTGTCATATTCCAGCAGCTGTTTGGGAAGCCTTCTTTACTTCTGTTTTTGCAAATAGAAATAGAGATATACCGGAAGGTAGGTCAATGCTGCCAGCAAGCATGCGCCCCTCACCCAGCTGGCGTGGAGTTTCAGGCTGGGTTGCCATGAGTACGCTGATGACATCCAGCTGTATCTGCTGATGTACAGCTGGTTGGACACTGCCCCAGAAAACCTGGCCAAGGGTTTGGAAGCAATGGTGAGATGGTTGAAACAGAGTAGACTGAGACTGAATCCATCAAAGACGGAGGTTCTCTGGCTGGGTGGAGGAGACCCAGGTCTGGAGTGCCATCTTCCAGCTCTTGACCATGCGCCTATAACACTGGCGCCGACGGTCAAGAGTCTTAGTGTGGTTCTGGGTGCCTCCTTGTCAATGGAGACCCAGGTCATAAATGTTGCCAAGCTGATGTTTTTCCAGCTATGCCAGGTCAGGCAACCGCCCCCCTACCTGTCTTGTCCCGACCAAGCCACAGTAATCCATGCAGTGGGTCACCTCTCAGCTCGATTACTGTAACTTGCTCTAAGCAGGGCTGCCCTTGAGACTGATCTGGAAGTTACAGCTTGTCCAGAATGCAGCGACCCGGGTCCTTACGGGGATACTGATAACTGCACACAAAAAACCTGTGCTTTGCCAGCTGCACTGGCTTCAAGTTGAGCACCGGGTCAGGTTCAAAGTTTTGGTCCTAACATTTAAAGGTCCTATATGGTCAGGGACCAGTGTACCTACGGGACCACCTCTCCTGGTGTGTCCCCCAGAAAGCATTACGCTCAAGCAACCAACACCTACTGGAAGTTCCTGACCCAAAGAGCCTGGAACATCAGGGCCTGGTGGAATCTGTTACAATCCCATGGGTCCTGCAAGGTAGAGATGTTCCACCAAAGCAACGGTTTTTAATGGTTTTTAACAGGTTTAATTGGTCTTAACAACTATCCTGTTCATTAGCTGCTCCCCCCTCCCCATTGCTGAAGTAAACGGGGGGCTTAAATTGTATTACGGTGCCAGACGATGTTGTGTTTTATGATATTATATTTTGAAATGTATTTTTTATGTATTTATATTAATTCATTGTGCACTGCCCTGAGCCTGCTTGCAGGGAGGGTGGTATAAAAGCCTAATGGGTCACACAAGCCCCCAGACTCCTCCCCCTGACTCTCCCCCAACAAGGCATCTGCCCGCTCCACCCTGAGTGCGTTTCCCTCTGCAGGCGGGCGGCATGTGGTCTCAGTTTAGCAGGCGAGGCAGGGGTTACTTCACCTTCTGCCCCGCCCTCTTTTGGAATCTCAGTCACGCTTCTCCCTCTCTTTGGGCCTTTGGTAGCTGTCTCCCATGGATCCTCCTTGACCTGCAGCCTTTTTGTCAGCTATGCTGCCATAATGTTTATGGGCGAGAGTGCATCTGGTTGACCTGTGTACTAACTGATGCAGCATTCCTTCTCCTGTCTTATCCTTGCTAGTGAGCTGCCTGTGTAGTGTCTTCCCATCTATTACCTGTGGGATAGGTTTCGATTCCCAGCTGTGGCTTTAACAGCCTGGGGCCCCATTTTCCTGCGCGCGGAGTCAGGCCGATTGGCCTAGGAGTGTGTGTGGGAGGTGCATACGAATACCCTATATCCCATTATGCTTGTAGGAAAGTAGCCATTCCTAACAGTGACGATGTTACTGCCTCTATAGGTCTTACATTAAAGTATAACCTTATGTTAAGCGTGTACTCATTTGTTTGGCTGTGCAACCTGACACTTTCCCCCTCTTTATAGTGTTTCCCATCCCCACCCAGCCTCCCTGTGTCTGTCCCTCATCCCCAGCTCCAAGGCCCACCTCCCTTCTTAATTCGGGACGCCATCCTGGTGACTCAGGCGGTTGCCACTGGCCCACCACATCCGTCCCCAAAGTCTGGATTGAGCCTGGCATTGGAGAGCGTCCAGTGGCCACGGCTGCAGGGGTGGGTCCACACCCCGGGTCTTGCACCGGGCCCTGATGTCTCCGCCCTTGGCCTCTCCTCGCTTCTGGGGGACATGTCACTGGAGGCAGGGGCTGTCGCCTTGGCACTAGACCCAGGGGTCATTCTGCCAGCGGACTGGCCCCAGCCCTGCCACCTTCCCTCCTTGGCTGCCCTCATGGGCTGGGTTTAAGTGTGCCTGTGGGTTCTGGGGGGTCTTCGAGGGTGGGCTATCTGCCCCGCCAGTGGCCCAGTCGTGCTCTGTGGGCCTCGTGGCTGGGACAAGATTGAGACTGTTGATTAAACAACAAAAAAAAAGGGAAAAGCACCTGGCCCTGACTTAATACCAGCAGAGTTATTTAAAATTGACCCAGACTGGTGGGCACAGATTTGGCTGTGGTTTTTATGCCTATAAACAGGATGGAAAGTATGCCTGAAGTCTGGTGTAGTGTGATAATTGTTCCAATCTATAAAAGGGGGGATCCTGTGGACCTGATGAATTACTGCCTGGTAAGCTTGCTGTCCACCGTAGGAAAACTCTGTGCTGCATGTATGCTGCAGTGCTTTTTGAAAAGTTGAGATCTTGGGTTGAAGGAAATAATATTCTGGAAAATGAACAGGCTGGCTTTAGGAAAGGAAGGAGCAATTACCATCGACCATTGCCATACTCTCCAGTACCTGGTAGATAAATATACGAGTTCTGGAGAAGGCATCTTGGCAACTGCCTTCATGGATCTTAAATCAGTGTTTGATACAATCTCTAGACCCCGGTTATGGGGAAAGCTAATTCAGCACCTTTACAACTACCCTACTGCCCGGGTTAGATGCAAGGACTCAGGACAGCTATCAGGGGTGTTAAACAGGGATGTATACTTGCGCCCCTGTTGTTCAATTTATATATCAATGATCTTAGATCCTGTCTTCTGAGGGATGCATGTCATCTTCCGCACCTAAGTGCAAAGTTCCACTCCTTCTATATGCTGATGATGCAACTATAATTTCTAGATCAATTGTGGGCCTCTGCAAGCTGATAATTTTTTTTTGAGTATTACTGTAGCTGTGAAGGCTTGTCTATCAATGTGGCAAAATCCAAGGTCATAGTATTTAGCAAAAGGAAAAAGGGGGGAAATCTTAAAATGGAATATAGGAGGCCAATCTATGGAACAGGTTGATCATTTTAAATACCTGGGAATCCATTTTGAAGCCTCTCTTGCACGGAAAATACATCTGGATCTGGCGAGGTACACTGCTGTGAGAGTAGGGAGGACATTGTAAAATACATCTACTCAGTGGGAGGTGAATTTGTCCTCTCAGCCTTAAAGGTATATAATGCTTTCAAACCAATTCTTGAATGGTATGGAAATTTGGATTCAGGCCACTTCTGAAAAAATGGGCTACATCCAGCACAATTTCTTCCAATGCTTATTGACTACTCCTAGATGGGTCCCGGGAATAGTGCTGGGAGCGGAACTGGGCGAATCATCGATGGGAGCTAAGGCTTGGATAAAAGCATTTATTTTTAAAGTAAAGGTCTTAAAATCTGAGGGAGGGCCCACTTTTCTTGGACTTATCCAGACAGATAAATACTGCAGCCAGTGGAATCAACTGGGGAAAGAAAATGAAACGTCTAGGAGTAACAAATGACATGGTTAAGATTAAGAATACTGAAACTGAAGATATAATTAGATAGATAAAAAGTGTGATAGGAAGTTGAACATCACTAGTACATCTACTATGGCGTGCATGGTATGTTTGATGTTTTACTTGGGAATTGCCCCCCTAATGCAACTGCCAAAGCACTGTTATCGTTTGACGGTACCAAAGCTCAGAAGAGCTTTTACTGTGGCAAGAATGACCCAGACTGTTTTGGAGGGTAGATATAATAAAGTACCATACGGTAGCAGAACATGCAGATGTTCATATGACAAAATGGAAACCGGCCACTGTGTGACACAGAGTGTTGGACTGGATGGGCCTTTGGCCTGATCCAACATTGGCGTCTCTTATGTTCTTATGTTCTTATTGAACACATGGTTGTAGCGTGTCCTATATTTAATGAGTTGAGGGCTAATTTAATCACCCCTTTACTTTAAAATATGGAATTGCTTAATATGAGATCCCAGGTGACCTGGCTGTTATCGGACACAAATGATCTTGTCACCCTTTCAGTGGCAGAATTTATAGGTAGAATAATTAAATACCAGGGAAATAATAGTAAGTTTTTTTTGTTTTAATTTTTATTCTAATGTCTCCTTAAGGCGAAAGCTGTATGAGCAGTACTGGACAGAATAGAACAGACTTTTTCAACAAAACCGCAGTGCTACAAGAAGGCAAGGATGGTCATGTAGATATTTTAAATACATGCTTCATCTCAGCATTCTAGTGTCCTTCTCTTAGCATGCCTGTCTGAATAGCCTCACATTTTTGTGCTTTCTGCTCTCACCTTTTTGTTGCAGAGCTATAAAGGTAAAGGTGTATCTCTGGAACAAAAGGGCGAGATACTTTGTAAACGAAAGCCAGGAATTCAGAGGAATGAGTTCATTGTTGCAGTAGATTGTTCTGACGTTATAGCCATCTAAATGTTGCCAGGTCTTTTACAAGCCTGGAACAAAATTCCACTGATGCAACGGGAGAATGGTATCTACGAGCAGCTGAGGAAATGAAAATGGCATTGATGTGGCCTGACCTTAGATAATGCACACCTTCCTCCCAGATCCCTTAATAATGTGCTTGGAAAGAGCATATCGAGGACAAGGAGATGATCTTTGGGACACAAATTAGATTGCAATGTCATGTGCATGCTTCAAAAAAACCTGCAGTTTGGTAACCAAAGCAGTGACCTTCTGGAAGCAACCTACATGTCTTTCACTGGTATTCCTGCCATTTTATTCTCCTTCATGCAGGAGTGAAAACAGTCGTCTGACACTGTGGATGGCCCCCTCTGTCCTCTGACCAAAGTTTCCGTATGCTGCAGTTTTCGCTTGGTTTCAGAGAGATGAGCTTGCTGCTCTTGCCCTATCCTCCAAATGAGCAAACAAGTGTTCTGTATTTTATTTCTGTAATTGATCATACAAATCAGGGATAGAGCTCCCCCGTCCTGCCATACTTATCCTACCACTGTCAGTTTCTCTTCTGCAAAAATAGTTCTGAATTCAGTACTGTTTCAGGACAAATGCAATATAACATCCTGTTTCTTTGGGTGTCCCCTTAGACTTAGCCTCCCTAATCCTATTCATATGAATCTTGAGGCTTCTTCTGCATTGTGATTTTATTACAGCTGAGTATCTTTTGGCCCTATCTACCCCAGTTCATTATATTTGATCGGCAACATGAGGAATGTAAATAATTTAGAACCTCCTCATATAGAGCCTGGAACTTATTTCATCCAAGAGTTCAAAAAGGTATTTAATACATAAAATTTAGTTTAAATAAAGTGGACAAAATGTATTTGATTTTAAATGTATATGTAGCTAAATAATCAACATGTATTATTCTTGCCTTTAATATAGGCAACTTTTAGATTATTGTATTCTAAAACGGAGAGCATCTGGTGATGTTGCTATACAAGACGCTAGATATATGGGTGACGTTGTAAAATGGTCACAATATAAAACTTTTTTGGTGTAATTTCTTATTTTACGATTTTGTTCCTGATTGGTCTGGATTATACATTTGTAATAAAATGAATGTTTTTTTCAGGCATCTTCAAAAAACGATATTTTGAAAATTTGCAGGAAGGAATTTGAGGTAGGCCCATTGCAGATTACAAATGGTGGATTTTTGTTATACGCGCACGCTTAAATTTTCCAGATGTTGGAAGTCTGATAGCCTCTAGCCCATAAACTCTTCTGGAGGTAAAACAGTCCAAGCTGACCCCCCTCCCCCCGCTCTGTGCAAATGTAACTTTGGTTCCTGGCAGATTAGAAGCCAGCTTCATGCATGTTCACCCTATACCACTCCGCTTGCCTGGAACACCCCTTCTCTTTGCTTGCCTTCATAAGTGTTATATTGTACCTGTATAGCGTTTTTCCTGCACCAACACAAACAAATGGTTAATGCACACCATTCTCTTGTAATTTAGAGACTGTAGCCTTGTTTTAAATTAAGTTTGCAGACACCAGTTATTTGGGGATCTCTTTTGTGCTAACCATGGTATGCATGGCCAAGGGAGAGAGGGGAACATGGGGACATAACAGGAGCCTTTCTGCCTCACATCAGAGATTCCCTGGGTACAGCAATCTGTTTATAACAGTGACTTGCAAGGAGTAAGGAGGTGGGCATATGTATTGTCCCCCCTGAGTACAGTTCTGACATTTGACATGTTTAAATCTTGTTGGCCCTTGGCATTCTGTCTGTCTGCAGAGTATTCCTGAAAGTACTATTCTCTTCTCCAACATAAGTTAACTGTTTGCTAAAGCAACTGTATTCTCATAAGTGTGAAGAATCAGCAGAAGAAATTGTTGTTGTATCAAAGAAGTCTTATAAAACATTTCAATGTTTTTAATTGAGGCTTTGTTGGAAATAATTCATTTTGTAAGAATTTTTGCTATAATGCTTTTGTTAATCTTTTGAAAGATGCCGAGAAATATGTAACGTAGAACCTTTTTACGTTCCATGAAGTGTAAAACGCAGTATTATTTTCAGAAATTTGTTTCCAGCATATTTTCTCTATTGTGCTGTGTATCTTACCTCTCCTGTCTGTATGAAGAATGCAGAGTTCAGGACTTCCACGTTTTTAGATTAACTCTGATTACATTAAAAAGACAGTTTGTCCTGGTACAGTTTCATAAATAGTGTGTAGACACACACACAAACACACACTCTTTATATAAACTAAGCTTCAGGTGAACCACATAACCTTTGTACTGTTCTGCACAAGTCTCAGCCTGGACTAGCTCCTTCATAAACAAGAGTTGCCTTACAAGCCTATATGACTGTATTCTTTATAATGCAGTGGCTTGCTTGCTTTCCAGCAAGCTTAGCCGAGATTAAACGTAACTTGCTTCTGTTACGTATTGCAAATATAAATCGGAAAAGAAGGCTTGTTTCCACTTTTTCTGCAACTTTTTTTAGCCGCTAGGGTTTTCATAGTGTGATGTTCTCCTGAACTATAACCCACCTCTGTTAAATAGCTTTATCTCTTCTAATACTGTATTATACTTTACTGCCCGTATCTATAACCTTTCCTCTGTTATGCTAGCACATTTTCTTCTCTTTTCTGGATTTCTGCATTGCTGTAGGAGGTTGACCAATATATGTTGGAGAACGGAGAGGACAGGTAAGAGAGTTTTCAAAAATGAGAGTGAAACAGTGACCGTTGACCATGACTGAGAGTAGTTTTTTCCTCCTAATGTTTCTTTCCCCTGTTTTTGTTGGGATCACTTTATGGTCAGATTTAATTCATAGACAATAATAGAAATTCTTTCATCAGTGATTAAAAGATGAGTGTGATAGTTCTACTGAGTTTCTGACACATTAGTTATAAAAGAATATACATTCTTGCATTATCTGCAATTATTTACTTATATGTAAATGTATAGATGCTCAGCTCCAGTAGCTCCAGTGCTACTCTTAATTTTTAAACTCATGGCTAATAATCCATAGCTAGCAGCATAGAATCAATTAAAAATCATTAAGAGCGAACAGCCAGAAGAGAAACCATTCTATACAAGCTACCAGGGAAAATAAGCAACCTCCATCCCCCTCAGGATAACGAACAAAACAAACCAAGAAGTGAACAGAGAAGCTTTCACTGGATGGCTGAAACTCGGCAAGTGAACAGCTGTTGGGAGAGAGTTGCAGAGAGAAGGAGCCACAGCAGAAGAAGCCTTGTCTCTGTTTTGAGCAGGGCCTCTGCAGCAGATTTAACGAATGAGCGTATTCCTATTGCAGCAGGGAGTCCTTTGAAAATACCTTAATCTCAGACCATTGAAGGCAGGGGTCCCCAACTTTATTTAGCCTGTGGGCACAGTTGGAATTCTGACACAAGGTGGTGGGCGCAGCCACAAAATGGCCACTGCAAGAGGCTGTGCCACACATAAAGGAAGTCCAAGTGCAGGGGATGAGAGAAGTGATTTTTAAAAATGCATGGGGAAAGAGGAGTAAACAGAGAAAACAGAGCCAACACTGTAGTGGCAGCTGCTACCATAACAACATTATTTTAATTTGCACAGCCAATCTGATCTCCAGTGGCCAGTCTGTGGGCACCATGTTGGGGACCCCTTTAAAGATGTACTTGGAATTGTGCCTGGAAGCAAACAACCAGTGCAGCTCTTTTACTACTGGTGAAATATGTTCCCGGCAGTTTGTACTAGTCAGCAATCCTGGTCCTGTGTTCTGCAACCACCGAAGCTTCTAGTCAAGTCTTCAAGGGCAATCTGACATAGAGTGGCTTGGATCCTGTGCCTTTTTTCTGCTTGTGCTCTTTTTCATCTGTTGTGGAGGTCTTGCTGCTCCATGGAGCAGGTTCCTCTTGTGCTAAGAACTTCCTTCTTCATGGAAGACATTAGTCTTCAATGAGTGGAAGTTGTTTTACTGTTGTTTGGCTCCATGCCTAGAGATATGGGCAAGACGGATGCTTTTACTGATTTTCCATAACAGTCTAAAACAGGCCACCAAAAGAAGCTTCTAGTTGGGTAAGGGCATGCCTCAAACCCCCAAGAGTTCTTTTCATCCTGGTAACAGAGTCGGTTCTTAAGCCATGACGTCTAAATAGTAACAGTCTTGTAAGTAAGTTCACAAAGGAAGCCGTATTATATGACAGGGAAGCCAGCTGATCAAGTCAGCAAGCTGGTGGCTTTGCAGGCTCAGGCAAGGTTTCCAGGCAACCGGTGTGGCTTTGCTTGGAACTGGTAACAAGATTAAGAAACCAGGCCAGAGACTGCTCAGCTTACCTGAACATGCTGGTACTGCAAACTGTAGTACATGCTCCAGCCATTTGCAGGGGTGGCGTTGCAGGGCAGCAGAGATCAAGTCCCTCAGTTCTGCTGATAGGATCTCCCACTCAATATCTCCAGTCTCCTCCAGTCGCCTTGAAGTTAACTGATGCCACAAATTACCAGGTGAATTGCTATTTGCAGCGCCTGTCCCCATTTTCTAACACCCATGATGTTCGCTTTTGTCTACTAACCAGTCCTATAGCTTTATCACTCAACCCTTATTTGCTTATATTGTTATTTAAAATATTGAGGCAGTGCCGTTCTTCCTGAAAAATGGCCAACGTGGTTTCCAGCAGAGATGCACAACATATCACAGTGACTTTAGAACAGCTCTGAACAACCAAAATCAACTTCAGATGTTTGTAAGCTGCCACCAGAGTTCTCATCAGTCCCTCAGACTAAGAGTTTCCATCACATTAATCAACAAATCAACAAAAAATGTCCCCAGAACAGAATTGAAAAATTAATAGGCGTCCAGCAACTCTTCTGGGACGCTGTTCCAGAGAGATGCAACTGTGATCTGTCCTATGTAATGGGATGGCGAGTATAAGCTGCCGAGAGGAATGAAGTGAATGCATAGCCTCTTACCGGGAGAGACGGTCCTTGGTTTATGTGGAACCCAGATATGTGAAGGACTTTAAAGATGAGAACCAGCACCCTAAATTAAGCCTGGAAATAGTTGGGCAATCAAGGGAACAGGTTCAGCACTGGTGTTATCTGTTCGTACCAGCATGGTCGAGCCAAAAGACAAGCTGAGGGAATATGTACTAGCTGAAGTTTCAGGGATGAATTCAAGGATAGTCTCAAGTAGAACTCTCTGTAGTAGTCTAGCCATGAGGTTACAGTAGCCTGGATCAGACAAAGCCTTATAAACTGTCTTTCAAATATTAGACCTGATAGTATTGGAAAAACAGAACACTGAGTTGGAAAAACAGAACACTGAGTTCTGAAGGTTGTCTTGGTAGCTGTGGAATTCCTTTGATGGGAGACAGCAGAAAAGAATTTTAACAGAGAATTCTTTTTTATGGGGAAGGGACAGAGGAAGGTCGATTCTAAAGATAACGGTGAATGAAATGTTGTGAGTGGTTAATAACATTTTGCTTGCTTAATAAAAAGGAACATTATGCTTGTGTATAAGTACACATGTGGCTATAAATCTTTTGAGAGGCATCTACAGAATTCTGTAATGTATCATAAAACTAGATAAGAAAATAGTCTTAAGAACCCCGATAGTACAAGATATGTCCTTGGAAGGTAATGCTACATTCAAAACAGTTATATAAAAGACATAAAATTTCAGAGTTCTGGAGAAAAGTACTCCTCAGGGAAGGGCTGCTTTAGAGAATGCGCAGAGTTAAAAGAGGAGTAAGGTGAATATAAAATGCATGACTCAGACATGAGGGGAGGACCCCCTCCCCCCCAAAAAACAGAACTTCTCATGAGAAGTCCAGATATCCATTTCTAGAGAATAGAAATAGTGTTTGATAATGAGTATGTGCAGGATGGTGATTGAATGAAATTACTCAGATTATTTTCAAAGTCATAATGTGTTTGGAATGTAAAAAGGAAGGGAAAAAATTGAGGGAAATTTGAAAGCCACGTATTTTCAGAATTTAGAGCCAAACCTTTAGCATTATAAAAGAGAAAAAAGTGAATAATGTTATTAGTTTTTTAGAAATGAGATATGTTGTTGTATTTAAGGAAGTGCCATATGGGGTAACTCTGGGGGATGGATACAGTCAGAAAGTGTGGATTGGAAGAAATCACGCTGCTTATATAACTGGTTCTGCCTGCCCGAGGGCACGTGCTTCTCAGGTAGCAGCTCCCCTCCAAATCATTTCTAAAACTCAGAAGATTTTTTTAAAAAGTTTGTGAAATGACACTGATGGGGATGGGTTTCTGTTGATCAAAACAAACAAGGCCAGCACATTATAAATGTAGGAAATAAAGAATAGATTCTGTGCTGTCACAAAAGTCCCATTACCAGGTTGTAAATACATTTCAGATGCCAAAGATCCCAAAACCCATAGGATGCAGTAATTTGCCCAGTTTTCCCAGAGTCTGTGCAGTATGTGCTGTAGTTTCATAATAAATCCCCTAAACTGCTATGGTTATAGACAAATCAGTATGGTTGATATACCGAGTTTTACCAGCTAGCAGGGAGAAGCTTATCAGCTAATTATATTCAGGGAAGTGTTCAAAGATTCATCGTGTCAGAAATGCTGATAACTAGGGATGGGTACAAACTGGCTCATAAACCTAAATTCATGATGAACTGGGCTCAGTTTGTGGTTCATGGTTCGCAAACTGAGGTTCTTGCCATCCCACTCCCACGAACCTCCCACAGATCTTCCAGGTGGCTCTGGGAGGTATGTGTGGGCAGCAGGGCTTGGAGAAGGTATTTAAAGAAGCCGCGGTGGTGTGGCTTGGCAAGTGATGCCTTCTGAGTTTATTTGCAAGTTGTGGCGGTGGTGGTGCAGCTTGCAACAGCCATTTAAAGTGGAGGTTTGTGGTTTGTGAGATACCACGAACCTTCATGAACCTCCATTTTCCCAGTTCATGCCCATCCCTGTTGATAATGGGGGGAAATCTCCAATTCTGAATTCTAGTTGCGCAGTACATTTTACAGTCCTGATTGTAAACTTCAGAGTCAGCACGGCTGGTTTTGGTGGCAGAAGAATGTCTCAGTAACACTAAAAATGAAAATACAGTAAATCCAATACTGTTGAAAGATGCAGAGTGTTAGATGCGGATAGTTATGTAAAAATTCCGGAGGTGGAGATGAGCTAGTTAAAATAAATCTACAGGTCAGGAATTGGCAATTAGTAAACTCTTAGTCAAATACAGCTTGAGGACAGCATCCAGATAAAATATGCAAATTTAAAAATGGGGTACTTTCCCTATGGCCTGGTTCACATGATCTGGATTTAGGGAGCAGAAGATACAGTTGAGCGACCACCGCTCCTTTCTTTATGTGTGAATTTCCCCTTCCTCCCTTCTGTTTGGTTTGCATTCTGTACTTGCCCATCATCAGCTCAGGTTAAAATGCAGCTGGGCACACCTAAACTTTGCAAACTTGGATATACTCATGATTTTTAAACATAGGCGTATAGCTGACGTCATTGTAACTCAGATTGATGGTAGTTACAGGAAATGCTGAAACTAGGAGATAAAAATTAAAAAATTATGAGATGGGAAACGTTGTGTGTGCAGTTCTTGGGGCTTCCTCCTTGAACCCTTGTTCACCTGTGTGAACTAGGCTTATGAAGTAGATTACCTGTTTTTTTGGAGACTATAATTAATTGTCAGATTAAATTGCCACATTGCCTAGTTTAGTTTTTTTTTTCTCTCAGAGCTGATTTAAATGTCAAACTGATGGCAAAAACATCCTCTATTAACATGTACTTAAAATTATTGTGCATGTAGAAAATATATAGAGCTGTCAGTTGTGATTTAAAAATTAAGTTTGGTTTAAAGCTGAGGGATAAATTAAATTTTATGGGAAAATAGGGATCTTTGAAATAAAGCCAGCAGTTAGATTGTACGATCCAATGATGGTGAATCATCCCAAAGATCTCTATTAAATTCAAATTAAAAATTGATATCTAAACATTCCTTTAGGAGCCTAATATCCCTGTGCAGTATAAAGTTCAGTGTTCTAGAATAGATGGTAAGGCTTCTTGTTCTCCAGTTCTTTGCTTTCACTTTTAAACTATTCTATTCAACTGCTCCACTCACTATCAGTTTTGAATCCTTATACGACTGTATTTCCACTGCTGCAACTAGGAAATAATTTTGTAATCCTTCTGTAATTCTTGAATTATGTGGATAATTCAAATTTTTGAAGGTAGCATTTTTGCATCATAATGTCTATTATGCTCTTTGCGACCCCACATGGCCTTGAGGAGTCATAGTCCTCAGAACTGATCACACAGCCTTCCTGTGTATTTCAGTCACCATTTTCAGTGTCCTCTTTGCAGATAGCAACAAAGTTTTCTTGACAGATGCCTTTTCACTTATTTTGGTGGCAAAATGGTATGCCCTTTTCCTCTGGTGGTTCCTCTGGTTTTAGCTTTCATTCCTGTTTAAATCGTTCCTTCCTTCAAAGCAGATATTTAGATATTCCTTATTTGCACCATTTGTGTTTTTGCCAACTGAATGCTGCTGAAACAGCTGAAGACATTTTACTTGAAGGAGAAATGTCAAGGGAAAAAAGAGCCCAGGCATATTAGAAGAAGAAGAGATTGGATTTATACCCCGCCTTTCACTACCCAAAGGTGTCTCAGCGTGGTTTACGAACTCCTTTCCCTTCCCCTCCCCACAACAGGCACCCTGTGCGGTAGGTGGGGCTGAGAGAGCTCTGACAGGAACTGCTCTTTTTCAAGGACAGCTCTTATCAGAACTAGGGCTTGCCCAAGGTCATCCAGCCAGGTGCAAGTGGAGGAGTGGGGAATCAAACCCGGTTCTCCCAGATTAGAGTCCGCGCACTTAACCACTACACCAAACCAGAAAGCTGAAGCAAGCAGTACGAAAAATATACTGTGATAGAAAGTGCTGCCAAGTTCCAGCTGACTTATGGTGGCCCTGTGGGGTTTTCAAGGCAATAGACATTCAGAGGTGGTTTTCCATTGCCTGCCTCTGTATCATGACATTGGATTTCCTTGGTGGTCTCCCATTCAAATGCTAACTGGGGCCAAACCTGCTTAGCTTTGGAGATCTGATGAAATCAGTCTAGCCTGGGCTACCTAGGTCAGGGTCATGAGAAATATACTAGACATGCACTTTTAAGTATCTCCAAGTTCCAAGTGAGTTGTTGCGTTAGGGAAAGAATGTTTTTAAACCTACACCCTACTTTAACTAAGAGGTTAAAATCAGCTCATCAGCAGTATTTTGCTTTCCTTGCAAATATTTATGCAAGTAAAACAGTTCAGAGTGAGACTAACAACTTAGTAGGATTTTTGAAAAGTTTTATGAAATCGTCGTGAGGGTCTTGAAAGGGGAAGTGGACAGCATTGTCTGATTGGTTCTCATTTGGTGCAGTAGTTGTAAATCAATTGGATAAGTTTTACTTTTCTGTAGCAATGTAATTTTGCTTATATAAGATGTGAGTGTTGCTTTGTTCAAGTGTCAGCGCCTTGAACTTGTGTAGGGATGCTTCTCTTGGCAGTGATCAATCAAATAAAAACCTTAGCTTCTAAGAAGGATTTTGCTGTTATTTGCCTCCTTTTGAATCCATTTGGTTGAACCCAGTTTTTTCTTTGTCATACTTCAGTGTTCATTTTGTAAGGATATTCGTTCTCTGTATATTACTCCTGTTTTATCTAAGCTTCAGGCAGACCTGATACATTTTATGTATCCCTTCTCCTTGCAGATTGCCTTACTGGTTCCGCCTTAAGTCCCTACAAGAAAAGCGGGCTATAAATAAGAAATAAAAAAATAAAAATAAATTTTGCACTCTGGCTCCTGTCAGTAAGAAGCAGATGCTTCAGTCTTTATATTAACCGCCTTAAATCACTGAAATTAGTGCTTAACAGAGTTAAGAATTCGTATTTTTATATGTTTTATTTTTTGTTGTGCTCTTATGTTGGTGTTGGCTGATCTAGGATCATAATAAATGAAATGAATGAATGAAGATAGTTTCTTAACTTTGTAGTAGCTCGTGAAGGTTTTCAGTAATTTTCTTTTTTGGTTTTATTTCTAGAATTCTCTTTATAGTTGCATTAACAGAAATGAAAGTAAGTATTTTTTCCAAAACCCCCCCCTTCTTTTCCTGATAAATATTTCAGTATTTCTCCTTTATTTCCTTTGGAGAAGTTCTTTTCTTAATTCTTTATAAGGAGATAGGGTGGTCTGACTGTTTATAAGGAGATAGCTCTGTCTGTTTTGCAACTGCTTGAGTTGCTTGACAGGCTGCCTGGACAGAATTTCAGAGTGTTTTCTGTATGTATTCAGTCACTAGAGTCTGGAAAAGTATAACATTTTGATCAAATACAAGTTCTCATTCAGTACAGATTCGGTTGTTGTAGAATACAATTCTGTTTCTGTTTCAAACGTTTTCTGATAACATTGGCTTGTTTCTTTTCCGCCTCCACAGTGGGATCAGTTTGTTGCAGCTATGCAGGTCATCACACAAACTGCCGGGAATATTGCCAAGCAATTTTTCGAACAGACTCGTCTCCGGGTCCTTCTCAAATAAAAGCTGTTGAAAGTTACTGTGCCTCTGTTAGCCCACAGTTAATTCATTGTGTGAACAACTACACACAGTCCTATCCAATGAGAAACTCAACGGATAGTAAGTATAAGAAAAGTTTAAAAGTTTTGCAGATCGTGCTTGAATATATCTGATGCATGGAAATACTCTACAGAGGTAGCTGCAGTGTGACACCATTTTCTGTTATGATCATTCATGTACCTGTTATTAATCCATACCATTCTGCTTATTTACTTTTAAAGTTAATCAGAAGAAATAACTGTACTGTTTTCTCTTTTGCTTTTGTTTAACGGTGATGGTGTTCTGGTCCTGTGCGTGGGATCCAAAAACACTGCCTGCCAGGTTAGCTGGCACACTGGGACGGCTCCTGCCTCTCCCCTCCTGCAGCAGCCCACTGAACCCGCGGGATGGGTGGGATATAAATGCAAATAATACACTTTAAAAATAAATAAAACCCCCAGAAATTCTGCTTAGGGAATTCCTGTGGTGTGTGCAGCAGAACGGGAGGGGGGAATCGACAAAAGTCATTCAGCCGTCCTCCACCAGTGGAAGTGTCGTACTACCAGCATGAGTTTAAAATCCAGACCCATGTTACAGCATGACAACTACGCAAGAGGTAATGATTTTTACGTCTTTCTGCTGTATAGGTTTGTACTGCTGTGACAGAGCAGAAGATTATGCCTGCCAAACAGCGTGTAGAAGGATCCTGATGTCAATGAAAACAGAACTTGAAATTGTGGACGGGCTTATTGAAAGCTGTAAGACAATGCCTCTGCCTCAGGATCCTCTCTGGCAGTGCTTCCTAGAGAGCTCAAGATCTGTTCACCCGGGAGTCACGGTGCACCCTCCACCATCCACTGGCCTGGACGGTGCTAAGCTGCACTGCTGTTCCAAAGCAAATACATCCATTTGCAGGTCAGTATTTTTCTCCCTCTCCTGCTGCCGCGGGTCCCTGCTAAGAAGACCTTGCATTGCTTCATCTTGGTTAATGTTTAGGTGAAAGCTTGCTACCATTGTTGGGTTCACTAGTAGGTGACACATTTGGCCAGTGCCCGAGAAAACCGTAGAGATCTTTGAGAGATTAAGCATGGCGCACACTCCATCCAAGAGATGCCTGGGCAGTTAACCTGGCATATTTATTAATTATTTAACATGAAATATTTGTTATCTGCCTTTCTCCCAGGCATCCCAGAACACAAAGCGGGTAACAACTATTTAAATTCTTCTTGATAGAATTAATTTTAAAAATAGAAAAAACAAAACTAAAAACAACTTCTTGGCCTTGTGTGGAATGAGCCATCTGTATGTCAAAAAGATAATGTGATCAGCAGTGTCAAAGACTGCCGGCAGATCTAACAGAAAATCAGCAGAGAGGAATTCCCCTTGTCCAGCCGGCGATACAGAGAGTCCACCAAGGCAACAAAAAGTGTTTCTGTCCCAAAATCAGGTCAGGAGCCGGACTGAAATGGGTCAAGGGCAGTTATTCAGGTAGTCTGAAATACCTCTGCCAGTTAAGAAGGAACTAGAAACTGGCCTGTAATTGCCCACATCATCTTTCGCCAGTGACAGGTGAGGCCTGATCACTGATTTTTCGAAGTTTGAGGGGAAAATCTTTCCACCATAGATGGGTTGATACTCTTGGTCAGAGGAGCTCTTATTTTCTCTTGGCGTGATTTAACCAGTCAGAAAAGCCAGGGCTCTGAATTGCCCACGATGGCCTTAATAGCCCCAGACACCCAATCTGTTTCTTTCAAGAGGATTAACTTGAAACTGTCCATAGAAAACAAGCAGATGCTTCTTACGCCCCTGAAACAACTATGCCTTTAATCTAGCTTCAGGATCAGAGACGCTTTCAGTGCCATCCTAAGCAAATCAACACCCGTCTGAGTTAATTGAAGGCAGTGGGTTCTGACGAGAGTACATCTGGCACTGTTCGTCAGCAAAGAATCTCACAAAATCATCACATGTAATTGTTGAATTCAGTATTCAGAAAGTCTAGATTTAGATATTAATATATAATTAACCACTTAAATAATAGAGCTAAGTAAGATTTAAGCAGTGCAGTGGTGGCAGAGAGGAAATTCTTCACCAACACGGCTGTCATCTCCACAGTTTGACATGTGGATCGAACCACGGGTCCATTGTTATTATCCTCTCGGAGTGACAGTGGCTCTCCAGGGTCTCTGGCACGTCGCATGGATGGGGATACATAATGATTTTTTAATCCAGATTATTCATATACTTATATTTTTCTGGTTTTATGAATTTTTATATTAAGGTTTTATTAGGATTTAATCAAAGCCTACTAAGTGGTAAGGCCTCTCCTTTGTAGGTTAGAGTGTCCTTTCTAGCTGATGCTAGCAGACAAGAAATAACATTCTTTTTTTCCTTTTAAGATGTTTGATGAAATAGCTATCTAGCTCTCTGGTGTTTTTAACAGGCCTTCCGTGCAGTATCGCTGGTACAACAGAAGATAGGTTTTTCAATAGATGTATTTGCTTGAAATATAGAGTTCATGGTTTTAGTTGTTTGGGGTAAAATTCTGCAGTGTCTGGGTTATCATGGGCTTTGGTTTCGTATCTGAAAACAATGCCTTTTGTTTGGGTATGAAGAATCCTTGGGTATCAATATCAATACCACCACCAACCTGGGCTTAGCATCAATATCCACCACCAGCCGGATGACTGACAGCCCGGCAGATGCCTGGAGGCGGCTATTCAAATGATGACAGAATGTCGCCATCTTGTATTATAGCCATGTGTTGCGTACCTACGGTTTTATCTTGTCATCTTAATTTATGCTGGTTTTAGTATGTGTATATACCTATATATCTATGTTGTTAGCCGCCCTGAGCCCGCCAAGGCGGGGAGGGCGGGATATAAATATAATAAATAATGAATAAATAAATATTATTAATAGGTTGGGTTAAATAAACATTTAAGATACCATGTAGTCACACCTTTTCCTGTAACTGACCAATGAATGAATGACCGGTTTGGTGAGGAGAGCCAGTTTGGTGTAGTGGTTAAGTGTGCAGACTCTAATCTGGGAGAACCGGGTTTGATTCCCTACTCCTCCACTTGCACCTGGCTGGATGACCTTGGGCAAGCCCTAGTTCTGATAAGAGCTGTTCTTGAAAAAGAGCTGTTTCTGTCAAGAGCTCTCTCAGCCCCACCTACCTCACAGGGTGTCTGTTGTGGGGAGGGGAAGGGAAAGGAGATTGTAAGCCGCTCTGAGACTCCTTTCGGTAGTGAAGGGCGGGGGATCAATCCAATCTCTTCTTCTTCTCCTCGAATTATGCTTTGTCATTTTGTGACCGATTATGATTTCTGGATGTTATCTTTCTGACTATGTCATTCTGGGTATAAAACGTCATGTACTTCCTTATATTGCTCAGAAAGCAGTCAGTTTTTTCGATAGGCTGGTTTTGGCCTACCCCTTCATCTGTTCATGTTCCATAATCTTCATAGGCTCTCTGTGAGAAAATCATGTTTTGGATAATAACGCTTGTCCTAAGTATTGTTTATCCAGGCAGGTTTAGGAAACATAGTATTTTTATTGTATACCTTTTCCCCCCCTTTAGAGAATTATGCACTAAACTTTATAGCAGCAGCTGGGGCAATACACAGAGCTGGCAAGAATTCGATCGTGTTTGTGAATACAATTCCCTCGAAGTTTCCATGTTGACCTGTTTAGCAGATGTACGTGAACCTTGTCAGCTGGGCTGTAGAAATCTGACTTACTGCACTAATTTTAATAACAGGTATTAAATATTTTGTACAAAACATACTGTCCTATAGTGAAATGCATGATTATATCCTTCTAGAAGCTGATGTACTTGCTGGATCTTGGGGATTTTAAAATGTGCACCCATTTTGAACGCGGGGCAGTTTAAAAGGAACCCTGAAGGGATTTCATGAATGCGAAGGTGTGAGACTTGGCTCTCCTCTAACTTCTGAGCCTCATAACTCCTTGTGTGTTCAGTGCATTGTAAATTCCATTAATGCACCAGAATCTCATCGAATCTGGATAAACAGTAGTTATGTATTCTATACTGTGCCATCAGATTACGAAATTGTCATTTCCGGTTTTGAATTTCTTGTTAGATTTGCATGTTCTGCATGTTTCCATTACTGGCTTGCTGCTTCTCCTTTTGTTTTGTTGAATTAAACACAATCCTTTAAAAAGGCAGTTTGATACGCGTTCATAAAAACCGCGCTTCGGCCTTTTGTTTCCAAAACACTTTCTCAGTTTATTTACTTAATAATATTTTTATCAGTACAGTCATTGACCAAATATGTAAAAGAACCAAAAAGACATCAGCCGGTAAAACATTAAAACAGTTTATTTACTTCATTTATACCCCTTCTTTCTCCCCAGTGGAGATCCAAAGCCGCTTACATCATCCTCCCCTCCTCCATTTTATCCTCACAACCACCCTGTGAGGCAGGCTTGGCTGAGAGGGTGTGACTAGCCCAGGATCGCCAAGCAAATTCCTGTGGCTGAGTGGGGTTTGCGCCTGGGTCCCCCAGGTGCTCTTATGATGCTCTAACCACTACACCACACTGGCAAAGCCAAAGATCAATCTCTGTATTTTTTTCATGTATTTACTTTAAGAAACAGCAAACCATCTTTTCCCAGTCTTATAAAACTCATGATTGTCAGCCATACATTTTTGGCCACGCTTAAGCCAGTTTGGTGTAGTGGTTAGGAGTGCAGGCTTTAATCTGGGAGAACCGGGTTTGATTCCCCACTCCTCCGCATGCAGCTGCTGGTGTGACCTTGGGTCAGTCACTAGTTCTTTCAGAGCTGTTCTCTCAAGGACAGTTCTCAAGAGAGTTCTATCAGCCCCACCTACCTCACAAGGGGTCTGTTGTGGGGAGGGGATGGGAAAGGAGATTGTAAGCTGCTCTGAGATGCCTTTGGGTAGTGAAGGGCAGGGTATAAATCCAATCCCTTCTTCTTCTTTTCTTATTAGTTTGTTTGTTTGTTTATGTACTTCATTCCTTGTCCTCCTTTCTGTTAGGGACCCAAGGTGGGTTACAGAGTTATACGAGACAATGCAAAAGACAGCATTAAAGAACAATGAAATAGAAAGAGTATATTATGTTGCATTATAATTGGAGAGCATTGAATGCAGACAGTATAATACCTCCAGTAAACAAAGGGGGAGGAGGAAAAAAAGCTACCTAAAAACAGAAAGTCCCTTTCATGCAGAATTGTATTTTGCTACATCTCAATTCCATTTATGCAAATGTCCTCAAAACACCTTTACACATTATGCACAACGGTAGAAGTGTGGGAGCCTTTCTGACCTCATCAGGTAGGTCATTCCACTCGGGAGGACCAAAACAGAGAATGCGTGGGCATGGGCCACCATTTTTATCCCCTTGAAAGGTGGCATCTTCGGCAGGCTTTTCTCAAATGAATGCAGCTGTCACAGTGGAACACACTGACAGAGGCAGTCCTGTGGATTAGCGGGTCCTAGGCCAGGAAGGGATTTGTAGGTAATAATCGGAACTTTGACTTGAACCTGAGAGCTAATCAGTAACCAATGGAACGGCTGCAGAATAGGTGTTATTGTGTATATGCCACGTAGCTCCCGATAGTAAGTAAACTGCAGCGTTCTGCACCGTCTAGGGTTTGCAAGTTGCTTTCAAGTGCAGACCCATATAGAACACATTACAGTAGTGTAGCCTTGCAGTTACCATGGCAGGGGTCCATGTTGCCGGATCAGTCAGGTCAAGGTCTGAAGCCATCCTCTGGGCTAAATGAAAATGGAAGAAAGATTTTTTTTTGGCAGCAGAATTAACTTGCTTCTCCAAAATAACCCCCAGACTCTCTCAGTTGAGTCTACAAGGGTCATGTGAACACTGTCAGATGTGGGAAACACCCTCCAGTTTGGTGTCGTGGTTGAGTGTGCGGACTCCAATCTGGGAGAACCGGGTTTGATTCCCCACTCCTCCACTTGCACCTGGCTGGATGACTTTGAGCAAGCCGTAGTTCTGATAAGGGTTGTTCTTGAAAAAGAGCAGTTTCTGTCAGAGCTCTCTCAGCCCCACCTACCTCACAGGATGTCTGTCGTGGGGAGGGGAGGGGAAAGGAGTTTGTAAGCCGCTCTGAGACACCTTTGGGTAGTGAAGGGCCATGGGGTATAAATCCGATCTCTTCTCTTCTCTCTTCTCTCCAAGACCTCAGAAATCCTAACCAGCATCACTTCTGTTTTGTCAAGATTCAGTTTCAACTTATTTACCCTGTTGATGTCACGGAACCAGTGGATGAGCACACTTTAGCTGTGTTTTGGATTGTGGCCCTCTTCTGTGGTTGCATGGATTCTAAACACATCTGGCTTACCATTGGAACTGTGAGGATGTCTAAAAATGTATCAGTATTAATGCTGAATTCAAAAGCAGTCCTTTTTGCCCTTTTATGTGAATATGTGTTGCATTTTTTTCGTTGAAGGCCGACCGAACTCTTCAGGAGTTGTAATGCCCAGTCAGACCAAGGAGCCATGAATGACATGAAACTTTGGGAGAAAGGAACCATTAAAATGCCATTTATAAATATCCCTGTTCTAGATATCAAAAAATGTCAACCAGAAATGTGGAAGGCAATTGCTTGCTCGCTGCAGATTAAACCTTGCCATAGTAAATCTAGAGGAAGCATTATTTGCAAGTAAGTAGGTTTTTAACATCCGACTATAAAGCATTCAATTATTGTACATGTGTGTGATGCCAGGCTTCCCGTAGCCCTTTCAAAAATATCATTTGAGAGAGGCAAAAGACAACACTGAGAACTAGAACAGGCCAACACTCTGCACCATCTCTGGTATCAGAAAATACCTGCAAGCCAATTTTGTTGACACCTAAGGTTTGCTCCAGACATTAGGTCTTCACTATGACTGAGGAAGCTCAGTGTCTGGATTCATAGGTCATGGTGTGCCATCATCTGGCAAACTGAAATGAGAAACTATGGTTTGAAGTGCATTTGCAAACCATGATTCGTGGTCACAGCAACATTTTGAACACTACAGCTACGGTCAGATGAGCACTTTGATCTGATGTAGTTGCTGTTTGCTGCTGGATTTGAAAAGTATGATCAGACAGCAACATCTGGCTTCAGTTCCCCCAGTCGTTGGCACCCCGTTCTGCCCCGTCTTCAAAGTGGAGTCAGTGGCCACCGGGGAAAATCCGGTCTTAATGGATGCCTCTGCTTTCACTCTCCATTTCTGGATGGCTGAACCTCCCCTGTTGCTAACTGAAGCCGGTTGAGAAGTTTGAACCTTCCCATTCTCCCACCTTTTAGATCCGGTAGGGATGTGTGCATAAGCATAATCATCAGTCACTGCTTGTGTGTTTAGTACTTATAGTTTACAGACGTCTCTGTCTCTCTCTCTGTCTCTCATGAGAGCTTCTCAAGACTGTTTTTCATAATAAAACCTCCAAGGCACAGTTTCAAAAACACTTCCCCCATGCTGAACTACATATCCCAGCAGCCTCCTCCAGCGATCCCATTGGCCGCCAGCTCCCGCCATCCTGCCAAGAGCTTGAACCTGATAGATCAACCATGGGAGTGAGCGCACGCTGAAACAGTTGCAGTGGGACGTCTGATCAAAACTTTCTGTTACAAACAAACCTGGATTAATTAGAGGCTGGGCCAGATCGCGCTTAGTCTGTTGTCTGACCGCAGCCTATGTTTAAATGGGCAAATCACAGTTGCTGCCATCAGTCGACCCTCAGAGACTTCCTTACCATGAAGGCAGGAGTGAATAAAAGCAGCCAAGGAGTTCTTCTTGCATGCCTGGAGGCTTCGATGATGGCTTGGGATCTGAATGATGGTTAGCACAGTATATATCTGAATTAAGCCTTAGAATTTTGACTTTGCTTTCAGACACATAACCTCTATTTTTTCAGACACACAACATCTGTTTTTCACCATCGCTTTCAGCAGTCTGGCTTGAGCATACTCATTAAATGTAAGAGGCCAGAGGATCTTCAAGTCCGTCTGAAAGGGAAGAGCCCTTGAAACGGCACAGCCCTGAGTGAAAGAGGTTTGCAGTCTGGCGGTGGAAAGTGCCGTCAAGTGGCGGCCGACTTATGGCAACCCTTATAGGGTTTTCAAGGCATGAGACATTCAGGGGTGGTTTGCCATTGTCCGCCTCTGCGTAGCAACCCTGGACGTCTTTGGTAGGCTCCCATCCAAGTCCTAACCAGGGCCGATCCTACTTAACTTCCGAGATCTGATAAGATTGGGCTAGCTTGGGCCATCCAGGTCAGGGTGTTCTTCTAAAGGAATAAGGCAGAGGAAGGAGCTGGGCACTCCATAAGCTAACCCAGCTCTGGGAAGCTGCGTTACCTGAGTAAGAACCCTTCTGTCCTCTCTCCCCGTCTTTCTTGCATAAGCCCTCTCCTTAGTCCATACGACTGTGGATACGGGACAGAGTGCAGGCGGTCACGTGGAATAAGGGAAAGTCTTACACGGGACACATACAAAGAGGCTGGCTGAGTTCTCGTTCACTCCATCTGGAGATCTCCTTGGAGCTTGACTCTTTTGGACTAGCATAAGCACTGCAGCTCCCACAAGAGGAGCACACGCCCTTCCCCTCCCTCCCGTATGCAGGAGGTGGAACCTTCTTGGCCCTGAGATCTGTTCCCAGATGGAAGGAGGGAGGGGGAGATGATGGGGTCCATGAGGAGGGTTCATAGAATCACAGAGTTGGAAGGAACCTCCATGGTCATCTAGTCCAACCCTCTGCACAATGCATAAAATTTACAACTACCTCCCCCCAAGGCCCCCAGTGATCCCAGAAGATGACCAAAAAAACCCCCAAACCTTCCAGGCTCTCCAGCCAAACCAGCCTGGAGAAAAATTGCTTCCTGACCCCAAAGTGGCAATCAGCATTTCCCTGGGTACATAAGAAAGGGCCACAAGAACTAAACACTGATGCAACCCTTCCTTCCCTCCCTCTCACGACCTGCCTAAGTTCACAGAATCAGCACTGCTGTCAGATGGCCAACTGCCTGGGGGAAAGTTTAATAAAGACATGGTGGCAGTCCAGGGGGACGATGCAGAGGCAGGCTATGGCCGACCACCTCTGAACATCTCCTGCCTTGGAAACCCATCACCTTAAGTCAGCTGTGACTTGACGGCCCTGTCCACCGCCCGTGGGATGTTAAAGTAAAGGTAAAGGTTCCCTTGCTCGAAAGCCAGTCGAATCCGACTCTAGGGTTGCGGTGCTCATTTCTTGCTTTCGAACTGCTAGGTTGGCAGGAGCTGGAACTAGACGGGAGCTCACTCCGTCTTGCGGCACACTCGGGTCTCGAACTGCTGAACTACTGACCTTCCACAGCCTGCAGTTCAGCGTCCTAACCACTTGAGCCACCACAGCTCCATGTCAGTGGGATGTTACTGACATGCAAGCCATGAAAAGCATCACCTGCCCCTTTTCACACGTTACATATATATTCTCCATGCCTGTTGGCCACCGTATCCATTACAACTCACATTCAGATCACAGTGACGTGGCACAGAACACTCCACACCACCAAGGCAGTGTTGGGGGAGGGCCTCAGACTCTAACTGGGATGAGATATAAGCACTGTGCACGTTCTTGATATATAAATATCTTATTTTCTTGAAGATCAGATTGTGTAGAAATTCTCAAGAAATGTGGAGACTTGAGCAATTTCCCTGAGGGACACATGGCTGAAAGTATCTGTGAACTTTTATCTCCAACAGATGACTTGGAGACTTGCATACCGTTAGATACTTATCTTCGTAAGTACTTGACAACTCGCCATCTGTAACAGGGTTAGAATTCAAAAGCATTTTTTTCAGTATTACTCAAAAGTATTACTAGAAAGTATTCCAAGAGGTATCTTGGGGGG